CTGGAACTGAGGACTCGAAGAAGCGCAAGCGCCAAGAGTCCAGTGTGAATCTTGATGAGATTTGATGATTAGGTTTGCCCCTTGGCATCCTATGACCCCATCATTTGGTGGGGTCCTACCCAGGCTTTTGGTGGCTTCCTCCACTTTCTTCAATTTCATTTCTCCCCTTTTAGCAGGGCTTCCAAGACGACTTTGTTACCTATGGCGTCCTTGTTTGGTTGCCCCAGCCGTCCTGTTTTTGGAATCATTTGGACCTTTTCTCGGACCTATGGATGCCCGTACCGTTACATTGGTTACATATGAGTGACCTGTTTCTCCCCTTTTACTACGAACATTATGTCATTGTTCGCTTACCTCCACTACTCTGTTATTAGTAGTACCATAACGGATTTAGCCCCAATCATATCAACATTGTGTACTGCTTTCTCCATTTTGGAAACCCCTACTATAGATTTAGTAACCTAGGACTCTTTCATTTGGGAAGGAATGGCTGAGCTGTTTTGGATTCGGGGCTTGGGGAATAGCCTACAACTGCCCTTCTGTAATTAGCATCACCAAAGTGCATCAACTTGTAAGCCATGTATAAAAGGGGAACGGAATTCGGTAGAGGAATAGTGAACACTTAGTTCAACATTCTGTAAACGTTACGCCAATGACTTGTGCTGCAATTGCATCTGTATATGCCTGAGCGATCGTCTTCAATTAGTAGGATAAGAGTTCTTGAATATTGCACAGCTGACCTCACAAAATGGGAAGGATCATTCCTCGGTGTTCTTGTACCCACCATACATAAGCGCGAGGTCAGTTACCGATTGGTAACCTTACCATCGACTGACCTGGCAATTTTGTAACCGACCTCGCTGTTTTCGCGCTACCCCATTATGCGCTTCTTAGATGCAAGCTGCATGACGTTCTTGGTGTCAACATGACCTTCGCCCAGATACTTCTTTACACTGGTGGCTATAGTAAGCTGGAGATTGTGCAAGGAACAGGATTGTACCAAGTACTCAGGTAGACAGACGTTTCTTGCTTGCAGTTTGTCACCCAAATTGTCTAACACACCACCGCCTCCACTATCTGTGGTTTGTCCTTTCAGCTTGGGCGATCCAATCTTCTTCAAGGAAGCTACTATTGCATCAGCGCACGGATCTGTTGAGCCACCACTGGCATCTATATCCAAAATCCTTTTCACCACTTTCCCTTCCTGCAAGTCGAAGTAAGACACAATTTTGACGAAGTGACTGACACCCTTCTTATTTCCTTTGTCACAGGAAAGGAAGACCAACTTGCCCTGTAGCCGGTTCGCCAACTGATGTGTGTTCTCTGCAGCCACAGAAAACATAAGATCGCGAAGATAGGTCTCCGAAGGAAAGGATTGAGAGAACCTTTCATAATTTGTCTTGTCCAGTATTCCAAAGTCAATAAAAAAGGCTGCGACAATCAAGGGAATGACAATCGCTGCTTGAGATAAAGGCAAGGCTGGACAGCTGGCGAGTGTAATCCCAATGATGGACCGCATAAGAGCTGTGCCCCCAGCAAATTTCTTGTTTGTAAATCCCTTCTGTAGACGTTTCATTTGGCAATCAACATTCTTTAGACGTTCATGTTGGCACTTGGGAATTATGGTATGGGTGTGTGGGACCTCCATAATGGCGAAGGTGCTTCCTTGGCTGTTGACAGTAACTTCGCCAACTTGAATTTCAGACTTTTCCTTCTTTCTGCTTCGCCCATCCAAAGTTGCCGTTGCTTCTTCCACAACAACCTCTTGGGCACTATCCGGTGTATCATTTCCAATTGTTGTGGTCACTGCATCTTTGGTTGCAGAATGCGATGAAGAGTGCGGCGTTTCTTGGATGCGAGTTGCGTTCATGTGGAAATGAGACTGGAGGTAATCATCAACATCCCTAGTCCATTGCGCTTCCATGTTGAACTTGGCTGCGACTTTGTCATCTGGTTTCAACTTCCACGGCTGCTTGCATTGAAACTTGATGCCTGTATGAGTTTGCTTGCGGGGCTTCTTCTTGAAAGTCTCTGGAGCGTCAACATAAAATTGACAGCCACTGCACATCAATCTCCATTCGAGGGGCCATTCAGTGCAATATTCAATCCTTCGAATGGACTTTGTTGGGTTGCGTTTCACGATCGGCGCATCATCACCATTGCCGCCACTACGTTTGCGAGTGCTGGACCTACTACCGGAACTGCCGCTAGAGGAAGACAGCGAAGAGAGGGTAAGCGCCATGGCGTTGCTTTTTACTATTTGTTACTTCGATAGCTACATGTTCTCCTCTCCACGGAGAGCCACTCCTTCCATCAAACAGTTACATCAATCCGTTGTTGTCAACAAAAGCCAATGTGTTTCGATACTCAAGAAAATGTGAGCGTTTCAAGCTCAAGACGTCACAGTAGGATAACTGCGTAGACACCTATTTCGAACCACAGTTGCCCTGTAATTTAGAGTGGGGGTTATCCTCGAAACGTGGCCGAAAACACGCTTGCTAAGATCTCTCCTACCTCCATCAAAACCCAACAACACGACATAGCTCGGGCAGGGTCAGCATCCTTGTATAATAACGGTGCTGACCCTGCCCAAGCTGCCTCGGTTTGACAAGGTTTGAAAAAAAAACGATCTTTCTTAGCTAGCTGAAATCTTCGGGCCAAAATCGTGGCTATTTATTTAGCGCGCGGGCCATCTGGGATTGCTGGATTAGTGCCGTCTGGGAGCCATAGACTCCTTTTTTTAATTTATATTTATTTACGTACATACAGTACCGTACCGAGTAATATTATATATTTATAATAGACTAGAGCTCGATCCGTTCTCTTTACTCGTACTTTCTTCAATTGGGCATCACACTGTACGGCATCGGCGGCATTGGCGGCAGTTGGGCAATCCGTTAGCTGGGAACCCATAATATTGTAAGTGCCCAAGCCCTGTTTTGAGGTTCACCCGGAAAGGAGTAGTTGCCTGTACCAAGTCCGTCCAAGTCAGGTCATTGCTCAATTACTCTTTTCTTTTTTCACTTCTCACCAGAGCACAATGGAGCCCAATAAGGAGGCAACGAAAAGAGACTCTTCTGAGGAGCTCGAGGAACTGCCAGACGGAAGCGTGAGCCACTCGACACATGGAGCCTCAGAAAAGGAAATTCCTGTGGGTTCGAATGTGACGGAGCTGGTTAAGGACAACCATCGAGATGTGGATGAAATTCCTGTGGGTTCGAACGAGACAGAGCTGGTTAAGGACAGCCATCGCAATGTGGATGAGAGCACCCTAGAGTTGGTTTCTATGGTGGAAGAGAGGCCGGAGATCTGGTTGATAGGCAAGGATATTGAGCAAGATCCAATGGATAGTCAACACAATAGAGACTTTGGGGCTGATCATGTACAGATTGCAATCGAGGGTGGTGACGAGGGCGACATGTTGGGGGCACCCCCTCCCTTGATGTTGACAAGGGCAAACAATGTGGCCAGGGATGTTCAGCCGGGTGCACAGGCCGTTGAAGGGCCAGGTCGAGACACCGGTACACCAAATGATGATGAAGTGCCATCCAGTGATGCGTCATCAGCAGGATCGCAGAATCAATCTTTTGTTGTGGATGAAGAAAACTTGGGAGTCGTCAATGGTTTCGTTGTGGAGGATGAGCCGTCTGAATCGACGATGCCGCAGAATGAGGTTATTGAAGGCACCATTTTGTGGGAGGAGAGTGGTCACAGAAGCCGCAAAAAAAGTTGGGCTGCATTGATGTGCTTGTTTCTTTGTGTGGTCGCCACCACCTTGGCGGCTTTGCTGTTGCCCAGACAATCCAAAACCACTGACCCCGATGAAGCATCCGCCCCTTTCGATGAGGGCATGCCCATCGTCTATCCACCGTATCAGGATGGTCTACCTGTTTTGTTAGTCAAAACGATTTTGGAGGTTTCAAGCCCGTACTATATGGCCAATATCTGGATGCTTCAAGACCCTCATCTCGAAACCTACACTGCAAGGCAAAAGGTGCAGCGACTTCATTTGGTTGCATTATTTTACTTTGCGAATGGTCACAACTGGACAAGGACCGACCATTGGCTCCAATATGACGTCTCAGAATGTGATTGGTATTCTTCCAACGATCTTGAGCCGAGTTGTGATGAAGAGGGATCCTTCGTCAATTTAAATCTCTCGTCCAACAATTTGCGCGGAGATCTCACTGATGCTCATGATCACATGGTGGAAGTGAAGGTGTTTGACCTCTCCTACAACTACATCTCGGGTAATCCTCCTAATATTGGCACAAACCCAGTGATCGAGGTAATGGACGTTTCCAACAATGACTTCAAGGGATTCAATCAAAACAACGGAGGCTTTGCTGCTGTCAGGCTGCGTGTTATACGGCATGATGGAAACCGGTTTTCTGGTGGTGTATCAGCTGGATTATTCTATCTGCTCGTCCCTTTGCTTGAAGTGTTCAACAACTCATTGAACGACTATTACGGAGAACTGTCCTGGGCATTGACCAACTGCAAAAACCTCACCCACTACTCTTCCAAGTGTGATCATGTGGGAAGCATCCCTCCTGAGTATGGCAGCTTGACAAAACTACAGGAATTCGATATCGAAGGGAATAGCCGGTATGTTCTTTATTGTGCCTGATGCAACTGTCGTCGTCTCACCACACGTCCTCCAACTTTTGCTGCAGGATGACTGGAGCCATTCCCTCGGAGCTTGGTCTTTGGACTAGCCTCACTTCACTAAACATTGCTGGAACTGGCATCACGGGCACCATTCCAGAAGCCCTCTGCTCCAGAGCTCTTGCTAGAGACTTGAACATTTTTGCAAACTGTAGCCTCGTGGAGTGCTGCAGTGCTGACGAGCAGTCATGAAGGTGGCCATTTGGAAGTGAAAGTCGCTGTTGGGTTCAAGGTAGCCTCGTGGAGTGTTGTAGAGTACTTGTGAAGTGGCATACTGAAGCCTAAAAGTAGACATTGGGTTTAGGGTTTGTATTATGAGCAAGGGGGAAAGATAACTAGCTAGCTGTATACTCTACCCCTCTTTCGTGCAGCGCTCTTGGGCGATATGGTGCTCTGACGAGGGTCAACTTCTCTAGTGTCGATACTACACAGCGTTGGATTGGTCCGAAGGAAAAAGTAGAGGCGATCCACACTGTAACTAAACTCGACCAACTTGTCCACCCACTGGTCTCGATGGACCGTGGCATTGCCCAATAGATCGCCGCGGCCACTTCGATTCAGCAATGTGTAGTACTCGATTCGTTTGCCCAGCATCAGAGCTGTCTTGGCGGTTTCATCTTTGATGCGGTCAATTTCCTCAAAGCATATGCGTTGGATCTTGGTCATGTCATGAAAGACTTCTAATGTGTGTAGGGTAAAGTTGGTCTCAAAGACGCTGACAAAGGCTTGAAGCGTCCTTATAGTGGGTAACGGGTTCCCGCTGGGTACGGTCATGTGAGATAGGGTTGTATTGGTTCGGAGCGCCTCGGCAATCAAAAGGAGCGACGCGTCTATGGCTTCGGTATGACTGGCTTGGTTTATTGTAGTCGACGAGTTGGAGATGAGAGTGAGTGTGCTGAGCGATGTATTGGTATGAAGTAATTGCGTGACAGCTGCGGTAGATTGTTCGGAGAATGTACACGTAACGACGAGCTCTTTGAGGTGTGAATTGACGGCCAGAGCCTCGAGCACGTCCACCCCCACTTCCCCTCTTGGACAGAGTTCCAGTTTGGTAAGCGATCTGGAACGGCACAATTGGACCACGGAGGGTCCTGTCAGGACGTGTACATTGGTTTCTAGGTTGCAGTAAACCAATGCGGGTCCATCCGCTAGGGCTTCCACCAAGAGGCGTATCAGGTATTCTTCCTGTGGCTCACATCTTGCGGATGAGGAGGAGGCTATGCGGGGTTGGAGCGTCAGGTTCTGAAGACTTCTGTGCGCTCGGACAGCATCACAGAGTGCCTTGAGGACCTGAGTGTCACAGGACTTTAGGTTGCGGAACTGTTCGAGCCTCATAGTTTTGAGACGGGTAGCACAGAGCAGCAAACTTGTAATGGCGGGGATTGGTGCAAAGTCACCCGCAATAACGAGTTCTGTCAGGTTGGGAAGCCGTTCTACCGCGTTTACCAGGGCTGCCACGGCCTGTCGATTCAGAGGTGGAATCTCCTCCCATTGACCATGTAGATTAAACTTGACAGTGGTGATCCTGTCGTTCTTTTGGATTGCTTCTTTTAGCTCTCGAACTCTTTGCTCCTCGAGAGATGCCCGCAGTTCCAGCTCCAGCGACACGTTGAGACTCATGCGCTCACATTGTCGCAGAGCATAAGGGATACCTCCCAGATTCTCCCTGTCAAACACCTCCATGCATATATGCATCCACTTGCTTGCGAGCTATGGCTCCTAATGTAGCTAGCTAACTACCGCACACCCTGCTATCCCTGATGAAGATGGATGTTTCACCTGTATCAACAATCTATCCCTGTTGCTCTTCGTCGCTGTGGCTTCCTGGGGGAGATCAGGGTTCTTTCCCCTAACAACGAGATAAGAGCGAAAGTGCGACGCAGCCTACTGCAGTTTCACTCTGATGCTCTGAGATGGGAGCAATAAGAGTATAGATGAACCAATGAGAGATTCATTTGACGGGATACCGTAGGAAGACACACCAGCAAGGCAGCAAGGACAGGCAGATCATGAATTTTATAGCAACCCCCCCGAAAGCCTTTCGGTTGATGCTTTTTCTTCACCTTCGAGTCAACTTGACAACTTCTCAAATCTCAAAGAAGTTTGCTTGAAATGCAAGTGCAGTAAAATGTGAGACACAAAAAGGCCTTGAAAGACATCCAAGAATCAAGGGGAGAACAGGAGTTTTAGCCTTAACCTTTTTTCACTAACGTTCGTTCGTGACTAAACTTTGAGGACCAAATCGCCCCTGGATTTCCACTTCTCACTTTTCACGATCCATACCACAGCCAACAAAGACAAGCGACAATGATGTCCCACCAGAGGGATGGAAAGCAACAACAGGGGCTTGCCTTGGTGCTCTTCATGGCACTCTATGGATCTCAATCCTTCCCTGCTGCAGCTGCCTTTTCCTCGACATCTCTAGCAGTGAAGAGATTTCCTCAGCTCCAATCTTTGCCTAGAATTGCCAGGTGGCATCCTCTTCCCGAGAACAGCTCCCCCTTGAAATATCCAAATCCAAAGGATACTCCCTCGTTGGATAATGGGCCGTCGACACCGTCCAATCTGTTTCTCCAAAAGCGATCCGAAACTGAGGTTACAAGGAAATCACGGGTAGCTCTTATCCTAGCAAGATGGAACGCACGAATCAGGCGAGCATGCTGTGGATGGCGAAAGAAAGCCTTGGCTCTATTCTTTTGTCTAGCCATGGCGTTCAACCTGGCTTCGGAACCAGCATGGGCAGTCACAGGAGGAAGATCGGGGGGATCCTTCAAATCCAGTCCAGGCCGAGTGTACTCCTCCCCATCTCGCGGCTATTCGCCTTCTCGCAGCTACCATCATCGGCCTTCTCGCAGCTACCATTATTACAGACCGCCCCCGACACGAATCTTTTACCACAATCCACGACCCATCATTGTAGGACCGCAAATGCAGCCGTATGGTCCTGTGAACCGAAGAGGAATATCTCCCTCCGATATCATCTTGGTGACGGGAGCCGGTCTCGCCATTGCCTATGGAGTTTCCAATCAATTGCAACAGGAGCGACGACAATCCAGTAGTGCTCTCGGGCCGGGGTATTCCGTGGCCAAATTAACCGTGTCTTTGAACGTTCCCAATCGGGATGCTCCCAACTCCATTCTGCAAAGACTGCAGCAGCTGTCAGCAGCGGCTCCCACCAATACCCGAAAGGGAGTGCAAAACTTGATCTCCAATGGTATGCATGTGTTTTTGCTGATTATGTAGATATCATGTCACATACATACAGAGCTGTCCTAACCTTGCATTTTTGTATCACCACCCACCGTCTTGATTTCAGTTGCTCTGGAGCTTCTACGGCAAGAAAAGTCCATTCGCAGTGCAGAGTCCAAGAGTGCTCACCACAGGTTGGAGGGAGAGGCGGAACGAGACTTTCTGAGGAGCTCTATCCAACAACGTAGCAAATTTGATGCAGAGACAGGTACGTATGGCACGATTGCATTGAAAGTGTCTCTATAATATATTATGTGTGTCTGCTGGCTAGCTAACGAAATGATTCGATTCTTGTCCAATATTACTACTAGAGTATAAGTTTGGCAGGAGTCTGCCGTCGAGCCCTCCGAAGAGCCGTCAAGACACCAAGGCCACAGAAGCGGTCGTGACAATATTGGTTGCCATCGAGGGTGATTCGACAAAGTTGCCTGCCATAAAGTCACGTGCCAGCGTCTTGGAGGCACTCAACCGCCTAGCCGTGGATGCGCAAGTGGAGGATTGCCTCCTCTCGGGTGAGATATCGTGGGCCCCGGAGCTTCGGGATGAAACCTTATCGCTGGAAGATGTCTATGTCGATTATCCGACGCTTTATCCACTTTAGCTTCGCGGTACGAGGTCCGGCCAGGCCAGGCCAGGCATCATGTCGTATCCATAGCTTTCTAATAAACTTGCTACTATCGACAGCGTAGCTGGTCTTGCCCAAACTACAGTACGGGTACCAGGAAAAGAATACCGGTAGCTTCGGGTTTCAGGAAGAAATACCTACAAATTATTTGAATTCTCTTACTCGGACCTCCTTAGCTAAGTATAAACAACTATTTCTGCTGATCTAGCTAGCTATCGGCTCACGTGGACGCATATTGCACGGGGTTGCTTTTTAGGTTGTTCCGACAATCCACCAGAAGTTCTAGCTAGCCACCGGTGGCCAGAGAGGTTCTTTGGTTGACTCGATTCGCTTCATTCTTTCTGTGTATTTATTCACCGAACCCGATGAAACCTCCAATACGCAACATTTCTTCCACCTGTCCTGGAAGGGAAATGCCCGTCCACAACTCTGTCAGCAGCCCAGTCGCCAGGAAAAACATGGCAAATCTACCATTCAAGAGTTCTGCTTCTCCGACAAAGCCAACCTTTTTGGAGTCGTCGTATTCCGCTCGCAGACGGTCCTTTCTCCATTTGGTTTCCAACTGGTCTAGGGCAGTCACTTGCTGTGCCAGGGTCACATCGTCCAGTACCACCTTTCCTGGTACGTCTTCTGTGATCCAATCTTCGTCTCCTCCAAATTTGGCGTCCCAATCGAAATCACCCTTCAATTCGGGCAGTCCAGCTTCAGTCAACTTTGGCTCTTCAAAGCTCTCTGCCATTTTCTCGGCATCTTCTTTGGTTGCCTTGAGTTGTGTGGTCGTCCTGACGAGAAACGAAGAGGTAGAAAATCCCTCGACACACTGAAAGAGTGCTGATGACAGGATCAACAGAGCCGCGGATCTTGATGCCTTGTGCATGGTTGTAGTTTTTGCTTTGCTACTAATAACTTCTCTCAACAGTAACAAGAAGTAGCGGTGATAGCTGCGTTGATGGTGTTGACTGTGTTTGTATCGTGGAGGTGGTGGTACGTTGATAGCTACGTTAGTTGATGGATACCATGCGATCACTGACGACAGCTGAGTCAGTGTAGAAATAATGAAAATAAGAAAAGGATGCGGTACCATGGTCAGCAAAAGATATAAGGTTTAAAAGGTAGCTAGTTAGAAAATCCCAGAACCTAAAGATTTCGAACCAGTCACGCGAGCGAAGCTGGATATTCGATCTTGCGCCTTGGCGCAATCAACGAACCCAATGCTTCCGTTGCTCGGCGCCCGGAGACTTTTTCATACCACACAAATCGTTCAGCCTTCTTCAGTCCTCTGGTTGCCTCTTCTTCTTCTTCTTCTTTGCTCATTTGCCAAGCCCAATCGAGTTATCAACTCTTGCCCAGTATCCCCAACATTATTAACCATGGCAGACGACAAAGCATCTGATACCGGCACGGATACTTCTTCCAATACCAGCGATGCCGAAACCATGAAGAAAATGATGATGGACACCAAAGTGGACGGTGGAAAATCCGCTTGGGCCACCACGCTGGAAACCTTTGGAATGAGTGATGGAGGCAAGAACAAAAAGACGGATGTTCTCTGTGATAGTTTTGCCGAAGCCATGAAGATGTTTTACGATTTGGTGAAAGATAAAGACTGGGAGTTTGCGACCACACCCTTTGAGGATTTTAATGCCACCAAGGAACAACTATTCCAAGCCTTTGTGCACTGGTCTCGCAAGAGTGGAGATGATGGAGAAGCAGCAACAACTTACAATCCTTCCAAGGCACTCCGACGTCTGGAAGCGTACGTGGAATGGATGGATAAGAATTGCCAGGATATGAATCTCAAGGGAAGCACCATGGTGGAGGTGGCTGAAAAATGGAAGACAAGAATCACACACGACAAGAAAGGACGACTCGTTTGGTGGTTTGATATTGGTGGCTTGGATCTCAAAGATCTCAAAAAGAATGTGCCTCCTGAAGATACGCTCCGTTTGTTTGTCTGGATGTCACACTTGGTCCTTTTTGACAAGGGTTCACAAGAAAATGGATTTATCTTTGTCGAGGCATTCGGAAGAAACACGGGTATGATGGAGACATTCACTGTCGTGACCATGGACTTGAGCACCAAACTGGATCGGTTGACTATTGGTAAGTTCCCTATATACAATTAATTTTGCACCCACGATTTACGTCGTAGAGAGGAGCATACTCACTCATCCACTTCACTTTTGCCTTTGTGTTTCAGGAATTCTGCCAGTCAAGATGGAGAAATGTTTCATTTACGACAATCCTACTTGGATTCGCGTCATGATGGCCTTGCTGTCCCCGTTTCTTAGCAAGAAAATGAAGCAGCGAATCGTTTCCATTCCCAATAACAAAAACCCCATGGAATTCTTTGAAGAAGAGATCGGAAAAGAAAATATCCCGTTTGGAGTTACGCACCTCGAAGGGACTGTTGAGAAAGATTTGGTGGCGCAAACTCTGGAAAGGTTGGCGAGTGTGATTACCGATGAGGTTGAAACCTAGACAATTAAGACAATCCATGATGTAGCATGCTATGCTTTGAAACATCATTAGCCGTACATTTATTTATAGATTCAGCAAGGCTTTCTATTTTAGACTGATAGCACAACTACCGTAGCTAAGACTACATCATCCCATCTCGTCGTTCGTCGCTCGAGACACGTTCCAGCAGCGCATGGACACGCTTCTTGACCGTATTGATTTGCTTTTGTGTTCCTTGTATGAGCAACACCCGTCGTACCTGATCGACGTGCATCTTGGTTCCTGTCGCTCGCTGCATCGAGATAATGGTGGCACCTCGGCGACCAATCACAATTCCAACATGATTTCCCAGTTCAATTTCATCCGTCAGAATCTCCTGACTTTCCGAGTCGGCGGCATCTTCATCGGGCAAACCAGCCGTGCTTCCCAATCGATTGCGAGCCCAAAACTTGGTTTGTCGGTCGTTGCTTCCCGTGGCCAGCAATCCTCCGTAGGGATGCCACTGCAACGACCAGATTGCCATATCATGCGCAAAGGGGATCTTGGCCGCCGGTTCCTCGCTGCCTTTGGGACCTACATTCCAGTAAATGAGTGTTCCATCCATCCCACCGGATGCAAATACGTTTTCAAACAAGGGATGCCAGGCAATGGAAGTCACTTCCTTGTGGTGTCCTTTCATCGACACCAACTCTTTCATGGCTCGGATATCGTACAGTTTGATTAACTGATCTCGGCTTGCCGTGAGTAGCCAATTTCCATTGTCATTCCATGCCACCTTGGTGACGGTGTTTTTGTGTCCATAGAGTGTGCTGAGTGTAGCTCCCGCTCGTGGATCCCATAGTTTGACGAGATTGTCTTTGGATCCACTGCAAATGACACTGGATCTCGGATGCCACTGGACGCACTTGACATCCCACCCGTGTCCTTCTAGTTTTCTCTCTTCTCGATGGGATGCCCAGTCCCAAACTCGGACCGTGGCATCGTCTCCCGCCGATACAAATTTGGTATCGGACGGTGAGAAACTGAGGGCATGAATGGCTTGTTGATTGTGGGAATCTACAGACTGGACGGGAGCAATACTGGGACTCCAGTATTTGATGTTTCCTCCAGCATCACAAGTCAGTAAGAAATTCTTGTTGTGTGACCTAAAATAATGGAAGACATCAAGTGAAAATGAAAGGAATGAGGAGATGTCAACAAATCCAAACAGTATCAATGTAAAAACCAGTATTGTAGCTTTGCTTACCACTCCATAGCTCGAAAGCTGCTGTCATGTGCACTCATGATCAATTCAAAACCAAAGGTAATACCATCCCAAAGTGTGAATTCCCCTTCTTGATTTCCCGTGAGCAATCTCCTTCCTCCGGGTGTCCAGCTGAGGCACATGATGGGCGTGGAGTTTTTGGCTCTGGTGACGTGCGCCAGAAAGGTACAAAATGCCATGGAGTTGACGGGATCTGCCACGGTGGAGATGGGCATTCCCATGAGACGGAGCGCCGAACTATGCGGTTGCAGAGAGGGATGAAAGGATCTGGCATGACTGGACCTGGAAGCTTTGTGATAGAGCCGATTCTCAATGTCAATCACGGCCGGTACGTGATAGTCGATACATTTTCGAATCAAGTTGCGTTCCGCGGCTTTTTGTTCGGCATCTTCCGCTTCTTGGTTGTTGTTCACGCTCTGATGGTGGCCGCCTCCTCGTCCTCCTCCTCCTCCATGGTAACCGCCTCTTCCTCCTCCTCTGCCTCCAAATGACATGGTTGGATTCTTTCAATCGCTTCCTTTTCGGTCGTCTGGATCCGTGCTCGAACGGTGGGTTGTTTGGGGGTCTGCCAATCTGGCTGTCAATTGGCTGTTGAAGGTCGTTGTCGTCAATCGTCAAAAAAGAATATGAAGCTTTGCTCCTTTGCACCTATCAGGAACGACCATACCACGATGACAGCACCGCTTCCCGTCTGCTCAGCGAAGTTAAGCATCGTCGGGCCAGGTTAGTACTACGGTGGGGGACCACGTTGGAATCCCTGGTGTTGTTCTTTTTTTTGCTGAAGGTTGCAACTGCCAATGACACCTGAAAGACGTGTGGCTCTGTTTGGCGGCACCATCATTTTTTCTTCCTTGTCTTTTTCCTTTTCGACCATGACGACGATCAAACGACGGCTCCAACAGAGCAGCTCTTCGCCAAGAACAAAGTCTCAGAGAATCAGGAAATCGGTGATTTCGGCATCGATTGCATTGGCTCTGGTGCTGGCGGCTTACTCCACCCAGACTAGCGTTAGGTTTGGCACAATATCAAGTAGGTCTAGCCCAAGGAAGACTCCTGGTGCATTCAACACATCCCTTCCAGAACAGAGCAGTCACACCCAGATTATCGACGACAAGAATCCATCTCCAGATCACCATGAAATACTTCAACCCCTCAATGACACTGCCAATGAAACCAAAGAACCATATCCTACATCGGTATTACCCGCCAAACTCTTCACCGTCATTGGTCTTGAATCCTCAGGGACCACTTTCTTGGCCCAGACTCTGGGACGGGCCCTCCGTCTTTCGTTAATACCAAATGCCAATGGATATGAGGTGATTGCACAGGGATTCTCATCTCACTACCACAACCATCACAACAACGACAATACTCCACCACACTGGACCGAAGTGCAACATGTGTCATTGCCTTGGGGAGGAACCTGTCAATCGCAATATTCCAATAATGTGACCAATGTGCTCTATCCCGCCATTTGCACCCGCATGATGCGAGATCGATCGGTCGTCGTTGCCAAAGCGGGGCCCAAAGCCCTTTCCCAAGGACCCTTTGCCGCCCATCACTTTTCCGAAACGGCACTCTCCTATTATAGAATACCACCCGAACAGCACGAGACGATGCGACAACAATGCCGTCATCTCATTCCAGATCGCCATCAATGGGACTATCCCGAACGATATTTACTCAATCTGTCGTCGCATTTGGACTGGTATCACGAACAGGGAGTCGATGCACGGGCCATTATATTAATGAGAGATGCCACCATTTCCAAACGAGCACGGAGGATAGACCACTGTCCCAACACGACGCTCTTGGAAATGGAAGAAACCATGGGACGACAAATCTTGCAGGAGGCCATTCGCAAATTTGTTCTACGTCCTACAACGACAATAAGCGGCCAACAACGACGGCGGCAATTGCTGCAGGCCAGCCCGAATGGCAAAGTTTTGTTGGTGTCCTATGAGCTCCTGACGCAGCTGAAACAAGATTATATGGAAATCATCTTTGCCCAGCTGGGAATCAATACCACTCATAGACCAAGGTGGAGAGATGGCAACTACAAGCATGTCAAGGACATTAGAGAACACCGGCTGGCGAATGGAGCTTACTTTTTGGATCCCTCCCAGTAATTGCAATATTGATGGAATGTTGACTAACATGACGTAGTCGTTGTAACTGATGCTCGACAGAATTCTAACTATAGGTTGACTGATTATTAGTACCGGTAGGCCAAACAGTGAACGATTGAATCAAATCATCAACAATGACAGAGGCTCCAGTCGTACCGTTGACAAATACCAACCACGTCCTGGATGCTACAGTCTTGATGTTGTGGGCGTGAAAACACGACCACCGCCAACGAGACGGAGTAGTTGCTCGCACCCAGGACCTGGCTCTGTCTGATTGAGTGGGTCTCGCTTGGCGGCTTCCACCAGCGCCGGGTACACATTTCCATCATACCGGCCTAGGACGCTCTTCAATCGAAAGTCAGAAATATCAAAGGCATCTACCAACGCCACGGCATTGGGTCGGATCGCATCCAGCAACCTCCTCACACCAGAGCGGACCCAACGAGATTGCTCTGGCGTCAGACATCCATCCTCCAAAAAGTCTCCCATGCTCCGTTCCATCCAGGAAAAAGCACAAAGCAGTGTCAACTGCGACAACACCTCAATCTCGCTGGTGCCCAAAGTACATCTTTTCGCCTCATCTTCCAGACCTACTTGGAAATTGTAGAGTAGCAGGAACTGGGCGTAGGCGTGTGTACACCGTGCCATTTCGACAAGTGCCTCATTCCACGCATCTTGGGCACTCTTACCGTCCTCGGCCATGGATGTTTGCATCAGCCGGTAGATATCCACCAGAAGTCTCGCTGCTCGGTGTCGAAAGGCCGCGAGAAGCACAGACATGGACTGCAACTCGGCTTCGGTCGAAGCCGTACAAGTGAATTGTGGTGTATCTCCCCCCAAAATGCTCTGAATGGACGGGATGAGGAGACCGCAGTCGCAGTTCAGGTAGTCACTTAACTCTTGTCCGCCATCCACTGCTTGTACCAGCTTGAGGAGAACCTTGGCTACTTGTTGTGGCAGCATGTGATTGTCGCCCTCGACAGTGGCATGATGTACGTATGTGCACACCAGTTCTGGGAGTCCACTGCATTGCAAGAAGCCATGACCCCCACAAGCTTTCCGGCAATCTTCCAAACCGTCACCAGCAATGGTACTCGTATGGCACTTTAACGCTGACGAAGATGCATGAATATCCGTCGTTTCTGCTTTGGTCATGGTCTTGTTGGCAGCAAGACGGGCCTCCATGTCATTGAGCCGTGCCAATACCTTTTTGCCCGAAAAGAAGAAGCAATAGGCGGCTGCCAGGGACGAAAAGAGTCGATGCTGTTGTTGTTTGTAGTCCAGAATCTGTAGCTCTTGAGCGGTATCGTTGTCGGTTGCATTGTAGCCTTGACGGCGAACTGCCGAGTATCGAATGGCAATGGTACAGGCAATTCCCAAATGCTTGCTAGCCTCATGAATGATATGGGCTCGCACCTGCATCATGGTGATGTAGGCAATCTTGGAAGCTGCTCGAGAGACTTGCTTCTTGCTATAATTGCCTTGCTCATCCACATGAGCAAATCTCATGGCCATGTTTCGACGTGGAATCACAACATGATCAAAGCTGGCCAATCCATTGTCCATGTTGTTGAATCCAAGTTTGGGACCCAGATCAATCGACGTGACGCCAGGTAATGGCTTGTGCGTGTCTGGTGACCGCAGAGGAACTAGAAAATTGTGGATTCCATGGTTCTTGCCTTTTCCATCAATGAGCTGAGCAATGACGATGGCATGTGTGCCTACTCTGCCCAAGGTTCCTGGCCAAGCCTTGGCACTGGTTAATGTGGGTGAATGAATGACAAAAGAACCTCCCTTCATTCCTCCTTTTGCCTCTGGAAGAAAGGTTGCTGTGGTTTCCAAGGCTCGAATATTGGATCCATGTCCCAATTCTGTCTGGGCATAACATCCAATCATTTCAAAAGAAAGACACTGGGGAAGCCATTTGGCTTGCTGTTCATCATCAAAGAGACTAATAATATTGGGAGTGAACATGACCCAATGAATTCCCAATGGCAAATCATCGGCAATGGCATTCAGCAGGGTCAACCAATCGGGACTGTCAAAGATCCGTTCCTCCTGGGTACCAATGCCCAGTTTGCCACACACTTCCACCAATCGAACACCCTTGGCAATGGCGCGGACATGACGCTCTTTGCGGGAAAGGTAAATGTTGTCGTCGTTGGAAAAGACGGGATCTCGTTCAATGATGGCTTCGAGTTGCCGACGACGTTGTCTTCGATGAGGGCATCCATCTAGCAGATTTGTGATTCTTTCCACCGAAAAGGTTGCCTTGGAGCGCTCTCTTGCTAGATCCTCGTTCATGGTGGCGACGATATCTTTGCCTTCGTATCAATTGCAATTGCTTTGGATGGGTTTCTCAAGACAAGAAGCAGATTCAGGATGTCAAAGAAATGAAGGTTGAAGTTGGATGCATCGATGAGGCTGATGATCCGGTGCCATCCGCCTTCTCATTTTTTTCTTTCCCCCGTCTCCCGTTTTATGGAGGGACAGCCAGACTGTGAATCCGCGACCAAAATCAATCATCTGTTTTTGACGGCTGATGGGCTGACGTGTTGTTGTTTTCGGGGTTCTGACAACCTTCCGCCAATGCCAATAAGACAAGGCACAAGGCACCGAAGAAAGATGGCAAGGTTGAAGCCATTGGGTTCATTTTCTTCGGCCAAAAGCACCACAGCATCTGCCGTAGTCGGCCGCCATCACTCTCTGGAGTAGTATAATAGCCAAGATGAGAGGTTTTCTCTCGGCTGTCTTTCTGTTTATCTCTGACGATGTGGGAAAATACAACCAAGAATATCGCCATCAAGTTCCCGTTCGACCCTTGACGCCTCCGTTCCCTGATGGTCTCTGTGGTGGTCGAGTCGTTACCATCCCTCCCGAAGAAACATATGCTATTGATGTCAACTTTAACAATGTCGTGTTACCTCCAAGAGCCATTGATGTTTGGTTGCCACCAGAATATGACCAGGAAGAATTTGTCGACCACAACTTTCCCCTCCTTTTTTGCCATGACGGTCAAAATGCCATGGAAGATGCCTCCAGCTGGACGGGGGCTTCCTGGAGAATGATGGGAGCTCTGACTCGACTCTCCGAACGAAATCTGTTGCGGTATCCCACTCCTCCCATTGTCGTCCTACTGCAATCCTCCCAAGACGATTTGCTTCCTGGTGTCGTACGACGACGGCATTTGGAGTACTCGGACACGGCCAATCGATTTGCCAAGGCTCATGTGGACTTTGTCGCCAAAACCGTGCTACCCTACCTACACGTCAATTTCCGGGCCAGTCAAAAGGCGTCCGATACGCATGTCATTGGGTCGTCGTTGGGGGGACAGGCGTCCTTTCACATGCTACTACGATACCCCGAGCTATTTGGTGGAGCGGGTTGCATGTCGCCGGCGTTTCAACCACCCACATTGGCCATGGCTGCCACACAATTGGACAAGTTGCGGGATAAACGAATCTACATGGATATTGGCGGTGATATTGATCAAGTCAAAGTGAGTTGGTTTGACGTTATGGATCACTTGACGGGAGAACATTGGTGGAATCCTGGTTATTGGTGGTTGGATACACAGCTGGCCCCTTCGGTAGATGCCATGAGTTGGGCACTGAAACAGGGCAATGTTCCACATTCCTACAAAAAGTTTGCCGGAGGCCGGCACAACGAACGGGCATGGTCACTGCGAATCCATCAGCCCCTATTGTACCTACTTGGGAAGTAGCAAATCAATTTGAAGCTACGAAACCAAACACGACGCTATTGAACATTTGCTACAGTGTGTAATGCAGATAACACCACCATCATAAACAATACATAGAATGCTAAAACAGCTCTCTAAGCATTGATGTTTCAAATGTATGGAAATGCACATTGGCAGCACGAAATGCGAATTATTTCTAAAGCCGCTGACACTGGCTCGACTGAACTCAAAGACGCGACGTTGTAGGCGTGTAAGCGCCCACTCCATCCACAATCAAGCGCTTCAAATGCGGGTCGTATCCAGGTCCAATAGACTTGGCATTCAAAGGATCCCTTCTTGCATAATCCAGGAGCGCTGGATAGACGTCACCGTCCCATCGTCCAAGGGCACTTTTCAGGTTAAAATCGGAATAGTCCCACGAGTCCACGAGAGCCACAGCGTTGGGACGGATAGCATCCAAAGCTGCCAAGACATTCGTTCTGATCCAGCCAGCATGTTGCGCGGACATGTATCCGTCCTCCAAGAAATCACCAAGGTCCTTTTCGATCCAGTACAATGCACACATTCGAGCCATGTCACGTAGCACCGCAATTTCAGGAGCACCAACCATTGCATGTGTCTTTTCTTCTTCGTCAATGCCCTTGATAAAGTTGTGCAAAAGGAGGAATTGAGCATATGCACGGGAGGTGCGAGCCATTTCCACCAAGGCATCATTCCAGGCCTGTTCTGGTGTTCGGCCCGCCTCGACCCTATCCTGTACCAACTTTCCAGCGCCAACCAACAAGCGAGCGGCACGATAGCAGAGGGCCTGCCTCAAAAGAGACAAGGATTGCAAGTCTTCTGCAGATTGGGCTGGGCATGTGACCTTTCGTCCGCCCATGATGGCCTGAAGTGAAGGAATCAACTGACCAGAGTCGCAAGGCTTGTAGTCATTGAGCGCCTTATTGTTTTGGGTGGCGACCGCCTGAACCAGTTTGAGCAGTACTTTGATCACCTGCTGAGGCAACATGTGATTGTCTCCTTCCACTGTCGGATTCTGTAAGTAGGTAGTGAACATTTCTGGTAAACCACTTGCCTGTAGGAATCCGTGTCCTCCACACGCCTTTCGGCTCTCCTCGATTCCATCAGCTGTGACCATGGACGTGTAGGATTTGAGGGCCGAAGAGGAAGCATGAATGTCTGTCACCTCCACCCTATTGACCGGTTGGTGGGATAACACACGATGTTCGATCGATGTCAACGCCTTTAGTAGCACCTTCCCAGTCATGAAGAAACAGAAGGAACTTGCCAAGAGTGGAAATAGACGGTGTTGCTGTTGACGATAATCCAAGATTTGGTTCTCAGCGGTTTCTTCGCTGTCTTTGAAGCCCTGCCTTCGAACAGCTGAATACCTAATGGCAATCGTACTTGCTTTGCCAAGGGCTTTGCCTGCACTGTCCGTAATGAGGACCCGGACTTGCATCATGGTGATGTAGGCAATCTTGGAGGCTGCCTCCGACATTTGCTTTTTGATGTATTTGCCTTGCTCGTCAACCTGTGAAAAGCGCATGGCCATGTTCCTGCGAGGGATGACAACATTATTGAAGCTGGCAAACCCATTGTCCATGGTATTGTAACCTGATACAGATAGCCAGAAAGGTAATTGCCCGTGCTGTCAGAGTCAGAAAATCTCACCAACGGCTCGGCATTCTCATGGGATGAGTGCATCACCAATTCCAACAAACGTACGTACCAATCTTTGGACCCAAATCGCCTGTTTCCACACCTGGGAGCAAATCATGGGTCTCCATGGAGCGCAAGGGCACCAAAAAGTTGTGCACACCACGATCAACACCATCACCATCAATCAGACGGGCAATCACCATGGCATGGTTGGCAGTGCGGCCTAACGTTCCAGGCCAGGCCTTGTAACTGGTAATTGTAGGTGAATTGATGACAAAGGAACCTCCCTTCATTCCTCCTTTACTCTCAGGTAGAAACGTTGCTGTGGTTTCCAATGCCCTCACATTGGATCCATGGCCAATTTCCGTCTGAGCATAACATCCAATCATGCGCCAATCTCGACAGAGAGGGAGCCATTCGGCTTGTTGTTCATCATCACACAAGCTGATAATATTGGGAATAAACATGACCCAATGAAGGTAGAGGGGCAAATCATCGGCTAGAGCAATCAAGAGGACATTCCAATCTTCGCTGGCCACCATGTGTCCATCGCATTCATCTCCGATTCCCAGCTTGCGACAAACCTCAATCAAACGAACAGCCTTGGCCAAACCACGTACATGCCGATCTGTGCGGTGGAGATAATAGTTGTCGTCGTTGGAGAAGATTCCAGTGGGATCCTTTTCGATGATCGAAACGAGTTGCCTGCGGCGAGCTGTCTTGGCGGCCCCACCATCCAAGAGATTGGTCATCTTCTCGGTGTTGAAGGACGCTTGGGCCCGTTCTCGTTGCAAGTCAGCATTCATCTTCATTGTTTCATAGAATCCAATCTCCTGGTTTGGTTCTTTCAATGGATTGATTAGCCAGTTCGAGAGTGAACTTACTGAACAGTTACTTCTAACAAGGTTCGAATGGTCCTCCAAGTCCAAGGAGTGTTGTTCCGCTCCCTTCCTGCTGACAAGGCGATCGTTTCCTTGCTTTGTCATCGTCAGGCAAATCTGGCCTGCCCCAGCTCTGCCCACTTTTAATAAACGCGTACCGGTAACTGTGCGATCTTTTTCTGCTGTTCTTATCCACACCCATCACTGTCTCGCCAAGCAGGTTTCTCTAATGTGAGCACCCGTTCCGGAACTTCCAAAATGGCGGCTCTTTGCAAGCTACCGGTAGCCGGAGTGCTAGACCACAGGAAAAACTACCCGATAGGGCAGTCCCTTACTACGAGTGTGTTCAGAGTGCTCCAATTCGCTTATTACAACGCTGGGATTGGATCCTTTGAAAGTGCATTTTGCCACAAACGTTGGCGGTCAAGCGACGGTGGTGTCAAGCTACGGAACCAACTCTCGGCTCATTGGACGAGCAGCTGCTTCTGTTTGACTGACTATTATAAATTTCTTTATTCGAAGTACTACCGGTACCGGTACCTAGTGTGTGGAGTGACGAGTTGTTCCCTTGAGTACTGCAGAGCAGTGTGGAACTAGCTCCCGTGCCATTGAATTACTTGGGCCGTATGGTAGCAATCTACGTTGCGGTTTCAATCAAAGGCTTTGAGCGATGCCTCAACAGTGCACTTCTGCGGCCAAGACACCTCTGATTATTGATTGTTGCCATAGTCAATGGCGGCATGGAAGCTGGCGCAATCTCAACAAGACGTTTGTGGCAACTTGCACGAACTGAATAATCCATGCTTTCATCCAGGATGAGTGGCTTTGAATGCTCTTGGACAGTGGGGGAGCCCAACTTGGATTCTGAAACAGGAAAGGCAGCATTCCAAGTCTCTGCAGTGGCAAGAATCTGACCACCCCTTGTCATCTTTTCCACAGCTTCTGCAACATCCATAGCCTCACCATCATATTCAACCTGACCTGTCACAGGATTCTTCATTGTGCTAACTGGCGGCACCATAGGTGCATTGGGAAGTTGGGGTCACAGCCGCAAAATATAGCAATGAGATGGTTTTTTGCGGTTCGGATGGCTCGTTCGGCTGCGTTGCGTCTATGCATGCCGGGTGGGGCTAGTTGGAAGTCAATGTTTTCGGAGCGTAAGTGTTCTTTTAAAATATTGGAGCATTCGTTATCTAGGCGATGTAGTTCTGGTTTAAATCCAGCTTGGACTAGTACGGCGTTGCTTCGTTTGAAGGCTGAAAGAATTTCTCCTGCTGTTCGGTTTTTCATTGGTTCCATGTGAATGTAATTGGGATCGTAGCTGTATAGGACAAATATATATTGCATGCCTTGGCTGGAGGTAATGGGAAGTTGTCCCGTTTGGTCGGTGTAAATTTGGCCGGTTGGGTCACGTGCAATCATGGTGGCGAAGCACGCTTGGGTGCGTTGTCCTTTTGGTAGGGCTGGCGGGAATTCAGTTGGAGAATCGGTCACTGGTTGTGGCAGTTTAGGTTTTGTGGTCTTGGTTCCCTGGCGTTGTTGGTCCATGTGTCCTTTAGTAGTTGCCTTTGATTGGGGTGGGTATTTGCGGAGGCTTTTTGTGTTGAGGCCTGGGAAACCTGTTATATAGTGCTTGTCGACTGCAGTTTGGAGCGTTGAGAGTGCTGGGTGGCCCATAGTAGCGTGACTGAAGGCTACTTGTTGGGCTTTGGTGGGATCAAAGTGTGCTGCGTTGGCAAAGTTGTGGGTCGGTTTGATGGTGACCGAAGCTGCTTGTTGAATTGGATCTATCGGTGGGAAACCGGGTGGGTTGTCTATGGGGATGTGCCATAGGCCAGTCTGGGGTGTTCGGTAGCCCGTGATAATGCATTGTGCGTTGTAATAGACCTTGACCGTGGTGTTGGTAAAGGTGGCTGTGCATCCACTATCGCAGAGCTGTCCTAGCGAGATGAGAGATCCTGAGCCATGTTTGAGTTCTTTGAATAGATGAGCTCTACATGCTGCATGTGGTAGGTGTGGTATGGTGATGTCTCTTTCATGGGTGGATGTCATGGTGGCTCCTTGTGCTACTACGACTGTGATTGGGTTCGTCTAAGAAGCCCCATATGACCAACCACTAGGATCCAGCAGAAAGGTGGATATCAATTCTATTGTTTAGTCAACGATTTTGAGTGCACCTAAGATTCAGGGCTTGTTGGTCCTGAAAAGGTACCGTACTGGTACCGGAACACTGTGCATGGAAGTGGCATTGGAGAGTACTGCTTTTCCACACTAAACAATTCAAAAAGATTTCCCGAAACAGGCCCGCTCACCATTCGCATTCTTTGGCAGCTGCCACCACAAATAATGGCGTCAGCAACAATATTTGTTTTTCACAACACAATGGTGGAGGAGCGGCCGATCACTACTACCAGTACTGGCTACTACTAGTACTATTACGAGTAAGTCTGTTATCAAGTGTGTTATTATTGAAGGCGCAGCACTGACTTCTCTCCCTCATTGAATTCCTATGGTAAACAGGAGAGAAATACCAGCTTGACCGGCAACAATGGTGAGTGCTTTATCCAATCGGCCGATCGATCGATCGAACGACTGAGGTAAGTCTATTATCAAGTCTATTATTGAAGGTACATCGCTGACTTCTCTCCCTCATTGGATTTCTATGGTATTCAGGAGAGAATTCCAAACTCGGCCGTCAACAGGTGAGTTGTTTTAATTATTCGAATCGAATCGATCGCACCTCTGGTTCTCTTATCCAAGCCTCACTCAAGCCGGTCGTCTCCGGTGCAGATTCGAAAGCCATCCCTCATTGAATCCTATGGACCATGGGATGGCAGTCAGTTCTCGGCCCATGATGGCTGAGTTGGTGCAATTTGAAAAGCAATGGTAAGTCGCCGGTCGTCTGCAGTTGAGCACAGAAAACAAAACTCATATCTATTTGTTGTTTTCTCTGCTGCACTGCTGATGGCCGGTGAATTACCATTGTCGAGATCGATCGATCCGGATAGCGCGACAATAGGAAGAGGCTACCGCTAACAAGAGGAGAGGCTACCGCTACCGAGGAGTCGTCTGTTAACGGAGGAGGAGGCTCTGTTAACTCCAGCCCTACCAACAGCATGCAAACGTCGTCGAGTCATTGAGGGGCAACAAGAGGAGGAGGCTACGACAACTCGAAACGCACAGAGGAGAGTGGATCCTACTACTGGATTCATCCCTCCAGTGTTATTTCCTAGTGCTTTGGTGGTGATTCCTGTGTCAGTACCCATTTTCCTTTATGCACCAAGTCAGTTTCGAGGATTTGGCTGACGACTTGGCGGCTTGGAAGATAGATTAACTAGCTAGAACATCGATTACCAACCAGATAGACCACACGATTTCATTAGATATTGACCTTACTAGCATAAGCAATAGGCCATGATTCCAGCTCTCTTCTTTCCTTGATATCCTACCCTGGCCCCACAGAACTGGACCAGAAGGTCCATATTTTGACCTTCCTCAAGATCTTGTGTAAGATGAGACCAAGTCTCCAGCATTTTTTGACCTACTGCTGTTTGCCCCTGATCTTGACCAAAGGTCATATCAGGCTTCTTAGACGTTGGTAGTGGGGCGTTTGTTGTGACAACTAGCATTCCACATTAGAAAATGAGACGTGGCTGCACTATCTAAGGCACCGTAATTGGTGTTTTTTATTGGTGGTGGGGGAGGACCTAACGAGTCGTTGTTGTTCTTGTTGACTCTGGTTTAATTATTTTATGATTGACTGTTATTGTTAGGTTCCCGCTGAATCAGTTTCCGACGGCGGGGCTGGTATCAGGTCGTTGCGCCTCCCATTTGTTTTTGGAGCGGTTGCCTGGATGTTGTGTGCCCTCTTTGGGAAGTGCCACGTTATCACTGTTGTGGGCTGGGTTTGGCGTAACGTGAGTCCACACCATCCCAGGAGATCGAGTTCCGGGGCTGCCGTGAGACCACCGATCGAGGTGTTGGCGTCTGTAGCGGAGCGTCGGTTTGCGGGATCGGTGGTGGTGGCCGTTGTGTGGGTTGCGTTTGCTGCTTGGGTTTCTCAAGTGACTCTTGACGATCCTGGTGACTCGTGGCGTATGTCGATCAGTTGTGGCTGGGTGAGCGTAGAAGTCCCGGTGGTAACTGTTTGGGTGTCCGTGATAGTTGCGTTGCTCGTTGGTGGTAGCCTGCGGCGCTGACAGTGGTTTCGGTCTGGCGGACATTTTCGGCATCACGAAAGAATTCTTTGAAGTGGGTGAGGGTGCGGTTTTCTGGTGTACGCTTGTTCCATTCTCGGATGGGATGAATGAATAGGCCCGTGGCTTGTAGAGTGGCTATTCCGGCGCTGACAGCGTTGCGGTCACTAATGACATCTCCGCCTTCTACTGAGAAAGCGATGCAGGTGTCAATATTATCGAAGAGTTCCTCAATGTCTGTGGGTGGAGTCCAAGGCTGGGTGAGGAGTTCACGATTGGCAAGGAGATCAGTCTCAGTGATTTTACCGTATGTGGTTACTAGATGGGTAATGATGTCAAATGGGCTGGTGTTGCCGTATCCCCACATGCGATCTTTGAGGGCCTTTGTGTAAGTATCGTTAACGGCGTCCAAAATCTGCTGGAGGATCTGGGCCTCTGTTTTGTGGTATAATTTCCATGCATCCAGTTCATTTTTGTAGGTTTGGTCGTGGCGGTACATGAGTGCTTGGGTGGCGTTGGCAGCATGTACGGGTTTGATTGGTTTGATCGGGACGACGAATGCAACGTTGCCTTGGGATGCTGCAGTGTAGGCTGCCTGGCCAAGAATGATGTAGGCGTGGCCTAATCTGCCATCACCGTCCTCACTGGAGATAGCTCTGGTGTTTGCAAGAACCTGAGAGATGAGGAGGGATAGCTTCCTCTGGTCAGGTTTGCCAATGATTGGTGTGAGGATGGGGTGTGGCATTGCCTCAGTTGGTGTAGTGGTAGTCATTGTAGGAGAGGGTAGAATTGGATTTGAAGTTGGGCGACACGGGTATATTTAGTTCCCTTTGTCGGACGTTTAAGGCCTGTGTGTCTAGGTGGTGTATATGTGGGTAGTGGTATTGTAGGTTGGTGTTGGTGTTTGTTGGCTAGTAGCGGTATCAGCTGGTAGCGGTATCAGTTCGGTATCAGTGTCGTTCCGTTCGAGGATAGAGGTTCGTTCGAGGATAGAGGTTCGTTTCGAAGATAGAGGTTCGTTCGTCGATAGAGGTGCGTTCGTCGATAGAGGTGCCGTTCGTCGATAGAGGTGCGTTCGTTCGAGGATAGAGGTGTGGTGTTCCGTTCGTCGAGCGATAGAGGTTCGAGGATAGAGGTTCGTTCGAGGATAGAGGTTCGTTTCGTCGAGCGATAGAGGTGCGTCGTGCCGTTCGTTCGATAGAGGTGCTTCGTGCCGTTCGATCGATAGAGGTGCGTCGTGCCGGTCGATCAGTGTAGCGGATCGGTGGTGGTATCGGTTGTATAGAAGGGTCTTATAACATCTGTTGAAGAGACTAAAGGTAGCGATAGATGTATTACGAATGATGTTATAAGATTATGAGGAAAAGCTACTTTGTTGTCTCTGGATCTGTAGATGAGTGGAGGCTAGATTCCGGTTGACGGTGGACGGTCAGACGGCCGGAATCAGCAGATTCCACTGCTGCGAAGGTTACTGCTGTCGCCACCATGGGCAACGGCAACAAACGTAAGAAGACAGAGAGAAGTGGCAGAGATGATCTTCATGTTTGGTGGATTGTGTAGTTTCGTTTTTAGCTTGTCGGTAGTTGTTTTTTGGATCTGATGATTAGATTTGCGAGTGCTCTACAGGGCTAGGTCAAAGCACTACCTTTAGCAAAGCAATGATTACACATTGACACACGCACCATGTACTAGCTACACAACAACAGTGTTGGACCCATACAAGGTGTTGCTGTTGTTACCGCAAGATGCACACTTGAAAGGCCCCGGCACAGCGCAGGGTGTCTGTCCATAAGAGTCCATCCTTGAACTGGCGAGCACCAACAACCCGTACTGGCTTGCTTCAAAGGTTACACGTAGTACGGTAGCGTCGAGTTGGCTGTCTGTACCTCCCACCTATCTTGGACTGTTTGTTGGACCAGACTTCTTGCTGGTTCGACTTGATATCATTCATGTGCATCCGAGCCAAGATGCTGCCGTTCAATTCCGAATCCAGGGAGATCGTATAAGATCGCAAGATGCACCTTTACTGCTATAGGCAACAGCAATCCGGTTAGGCGTACGCTGACAGGCGTAATCTTGTCTTGAGGGAGGAAGCAATTCCTGGTCGATTCATTGAAGTCGACTGGTGGTGTTCATTCCATGGATTGTCACGGAACCTGAGCAATACAGGTACCGGTACCGGTACAGGACTTGGCTCGGTTCTTGTCCTTTCCTGCTTCGCTTCCGTTTGCGCATCCAGCTATTTTCCATCCTAGTTTGAGGCAGTAAGCAAGAACTTTCTTTGCCAGGAGGTGCCGGTAGCCTGAGAAAAGAAGAAGGCGTGACGATACAACAGCAATCTCTTGATGCTTGTGAGGGGGGACAAGGGTCTGTTGGCATGAAACTTGCTCCGATGGAGTCACGAATGTCAGTCACAATCCTCAACAACCTTCTTTCTGACAGTTTCTTGGCGGCGGAGTGGTTGCGCTGAGTTGGCGATGAAATTGCATGGTATGGTACATGTACCGTACGGTACGGTATACCTGCAAAGCGACAGATCTCGCCGGAGTTGCGGTCAGGCATAATACCGTACAGTGTGTGTTATTTAGAAACCCATGGTGGAAGGACACAGTGTTCATCGTGTGGCTAAATGGCACCGGGAAAGGCTGGTAGGCAAGGCCTTCCAAGCGAGCAGCCCGAACGGTCGTTTTATCAATGGCGCAAAAGCCATTGACGGGAAGGTCTTCTATCGAATTGAGGCAGTTGGCAAGAACCTGTTTGCTTTCTTCCGAGATGCTGTTGCAAAGGACAATGACAGTGATGTGGTGGTGCACGTTCATTTTGGTATGGCTGGCAGCTGGGCAGTTTATCAAGGAGAGCAGCAAGTACCCGAGCCGACTTCTACCAATCGATTACGATTAGAGCACACTTCCTAACCGTTGACAGCAGATCTATCGGCAATGACAGTCAACTATGGTTTGGGAATGGATCTCTACGTGACAAAAAAGGCCAAACTGGGTCAGGACCCATTGCGGGAAGACGCAGACCCTGAATTGCTCTGGACTAAGGTGAAGAAAAGCAAAACGTCCATTGGGGCAGTGATAATGGACCAGTCCTATTTCACAGGACCTGGCAATATCTATAGAGCCGAAATTCTCTTCAAGGCGGGCGTCCACCCCGACATTCCTGGTATGGCTTTGCAACGATCCAACTTTGATCAAATTTGGCAACACACGGTCACTCTACTACAGCGAGGATACCAAACTGGGAGCATCCTAACAGTGGATCCAGAGGAGGCCAGACGTCTGGGGAAACCCAAATTGAGACGTTACATTTACAATACCAGCCACTGTCCACGATGCAAGTCACGAATTCAAGTGTGGGATATTGCCGGTCGCACTTGTTACGCTTGTCCCACCTGCCAGCCCAAGCAAACAGCAATAGAAGATTCAAAGAAGCCCAGAGGCAAGCGCTCTACGAACAAAGATTGCGAACCATTCAACTCTCATTGTGCCCGCGAGTCGGTCGAAACTAGACTAGATGAGAGTGGCCCGGAGCGATTGACAGTCAAAGAAATCAAAACGCAGCTCCATCACATGGGCGTACGAGACGTTCCCACTGGCCGAAGGAAAGCTGCGCTGGTGAAGCTCCTGGTCGAACATCGGAAAGCAATAAAGGAACACCCTTCTCTAAAGATTATCACGCCCGCCGCAATGCCAACTACTTCGGCGAATGCTGTCATCGTTTCGTCCGAAGCCGCTGCAGCAGAAAAAGCTTGTTCGCGTTTGGATCGATACATAGACAGCCTGCAGGCTTATAGCTAAGGTGGCTCACCGCCAATCAATATATAGACTCACTCTTTAAAACTGATACACAATGGCGCTTCTTGCTTAATAGGTCATTGAGCCCAAACTACTACACCAATCCTTCCTCTACTACTACTACTACAACAGAAGCATCGACAGGGGCATCCATAGCTACCAGCGGCGCTCGTCCGGTCGTCTACAGCCGGAGATCGATCGATCGATCGATCGATCGGCAGCAGTTCCACGCTGAATCGCTCGCCGAATCCCCTTCCACCATGAAGATCCCGACTCCAGACAGCGCTTCTACGGCTACCGGCGACTTGCTACAACTCCAGCATGACCTTGACCATGCACCAGCCGCAACGACCATCGTCAACCCATTCGACGCTTTATTCGATCCCTTTTCGGATGACAACAACAGCAACGGCAATAATGCCATCGACCATGGCGCTACGAACGCACCAACTACTACTACGGCCGGTACCACTCCCGACGCACACCAGCAGCAGCATCAGCCGCCCTTCGGCGTGCTCAGACAACAACAGCAGCGACACCAGCAGCAGCAGCCTTTCGAATTTTTCGAACAACAACAACGTTTCGAAACTCGAGACCATGGCGCTCCTGTTGCCGACGGCGCTACCGCGCCTGCGCCGCCAGCATCGGGCGCTACCACTACCACGGCCACCACGACCACGGCTCCTCCTCCTGCCGCTACCAACAGCTACCAGCAGCAGCAGCAGCCTTTCGAATTTTTCGAACAACAACAACAACAACAACGTTTCGAAACTCAATTGCGCGACCATGGCGCTCCTGTTGCCGACGGCGCTGGCGGCCATTTTTCAGCTTGGTCATGGCAACACCCACGCGACCCCAACCCACAGCAGATCGCAGACCTCCTCACGAGGCCTCTACCTCCTCCAAGTCTCAACGACTTCATCTCCAATGGCAACAACAGCAATGTTGCCGCCACGCAATGGCCATTCGGCACCAGCCAAGCCACTGACTTCCACCGAAGTCACCAAGCTCCACCACTCCAGCAGAGGCTCAACCCATTCGAGCTCCACACTTCTGTGCAAGCTGAACAGCCAGCTACACTCCCATCAGCCCCTAGCTTGGCCAACACCAGCACTCCAATTCAGGGTGTCCAGCAGCTCCAACGGCAGCCCATACAAGGGTCCCTTCTAGAAGGCCCCACACAGTCCAGCTACTCTCCAGCTCCACTGACAACCCCACTGACTACACTCCCATCACACTGCCAACAGCTGGCCAGTCTCATGGGGGGTAGTCAGCAGATCAAGCCCTGGCACAAGCTCTCTTGTCCAGCAGTCCACCATCAGCAGCTACCAAGGTACCAGCTCTCGAGCCGTTGCAGGCACCGCCCCCAGCACCAGTGCAACCCCCGTTGCAGAGTTTCCACGGCCCGCGCCCACAGTTCTCCAGTGCACGCGAGCCGGGTTTCCACGATGCGCGCCTGCAGACTTCCACTGCTATGAAATCATGAAAAATCTTATCTATTCGGTGCTGGTGGAGGCAATTTCTGTGGTATATAAACCACATTTATCACTCCCCCATTGCCGAACATCTCTGCTGTTTTTTCTCGAGATGACTCCCGAGTTCGCAGCAGTTGTGACAAGCCAGCACTAATTCCACGGTACTGGTGTGGTTGCAGGTATTTTCTTACGCTTTAGCGCTGCCTGTAATCAAGCGCTAGCCTTCGAGTTTCACGGAAGGATCTTCTTTTCGCATACGTCAGTAGAGGTTCGGGTTCTCATCGGAATCCGACTGACGTCAGTGGAGGTACGTGTTCTCTAACTCGCGCGATTACTCCCCCAGGATCCTCGCGGAATTCCTGGGACTATGTTGGAACGATCTTACAAGCGATACTAGCTGTACGTGTTACGCCTTTTACGTGTTCTTCGGCGATCCTATGCAGGAATCGCGCTGACTGTCGAATACTAGTACGAAGTCGGAATACTAGTTTCTTCTCTTAACTCACGAGCAATTGGAGAGCCATTCTGAAGGGCTTAGACGTTGTTCTCTCTAGTGTTCCGTTGCCAAGACTAGGTCACGGATGGAGTGTTCCCGGAGAACTCCCCCATAGTCTATGTGTATTTACTAGAGGACGTCATGAGTACTATTTAACTATAGAGACTTGCTAATCTCTAAGCCTGGAGGTGAACTTCTCCCCCCAAGTCTTTTTACTGGTTGATGGTACAAATGAGTCACGGGGAAAGAAGACTATAACTCCCCCGGAACTGGTGCATGCTGGCGGATATATGTCGTGCTTCTCTAGCCCTGCAGGATCCGGTCGTGCAGACTTGTAGAATGCATGAGAAGACTTATAGGCGCTACTAACTAGTGCATACTGACTAAGGCGCTTTCCGACATGGAGTTATTATCGTGGGAGCAGGAACGATTCGGAACACAAGGGAACACCATCAAGAATCGAACTACAAGCCCACAAACCCTAACTCCCAGGGGACCGTAGCTAGAACTACTATGTACCCTGACGTGGCCCGTGCAGGATAGTGGAATCTACTGCAGGGGTACGAGGTAAGTCACTGGGTGTACGAAGGTAGGGCGTACTGTTAATCCTATGAAATCATGAAAAATCTTATCTATTCGGTGCTGGTGGAGGCAATTTCTGTGGTATATAAACCACATTTATCACACTGCACGCGTGCCCAGCACCAACACCAGCTCGGTTCCCACCGTTGCTGCCAGTATTGAAGCCCAGCGACTCGCCATGTCAGCCACGATCAGAGCACTCGAGCTGGAACTGGAGGCCACCAACGGGATTGGTTCCATCCCAAAGCACGAACCGTTTGACAGCATTGAAGCCAGGCGGCTCGAGCTGATCCGCCAGCTCAAGCCTGAGCAACTGACTCCAATCTCCCGTCGTCTCGTCTTCAGGACCCCAGCTCCAGCCTCCATTCGTGGCCATTCGGGCTACCGTGGTCCCGCTGGTGGTTCCTCTTCCGGCCCTGGCGGCCCTGGTGGTTCCTCTTCCGACCCTGGTGGTTCCGTTTCTGTTTCCGGCCCTGGTGGTCCTGGTGTTTCTGCTTCCGGTCCTGGTGGTTCCGTTTCGGGCCCTGGTGGTTCTGGTGGTTCCGTTTCCGGTCCTGGTGGTTCCTTTTCCGGCCCTGGTGGTTCTGGTGTTTCCGTTTCCGGCTCTGGTGTTCCTGGTGGTTCTGTTTCCGGCTTCTCAAAGCCCACGAATCCCCGGCGTTCTCCCAGTCCCAGTGGGTCCGACTACTCCACTGGAATCCCCAGGCCCCAGTCCCATGATCTACCGCAAGAGGACCCCGTTCCGTATGGGAATGTCTTGATCCCAAGCCCCGGCGGTCGCATTGTCTTCACTGGCAGTTGCACCGTCGTTCATGGAGCCGGTTTG